GAGAGAGAGAGAGAGAGAGGGAGAGAGAGAGAGAGAGAGAGAGAGAGAGGGAAATAAACGATATGGTAGCTTAAAATTTCACCCTAGTTGTTTGGTTTATATAAAATTGTCACGGTAATGCTTCGTCGTTTTTCGTTGCGGGTCTTTGGGGTTACCGGAAATTCGATCGAAAGAAATTTCGTCGACCGGTAATTTGATCGAGCGGAAATTTGGTCGAATCTTTTTTTTTCCGTTCGCGCTTTGAAATGTTCATCAAATTTCTTTTTGAACGCACTCTACTATTTAGTAAAACAAATAATTCGTTCAAAAAGAAATTTGATGCAAAATTGTTACGTAAAAATTGAAAAGAGGATTCGACCAAATTTCCGTTCGATCATATTACCGTCGACCAATTTACCGTCGACGAAATTTCTTTCGATCAAATTTCCGGATACGGGTCTTTGGCGCTGGTGGTATCTGTCACGAGACACGTGAGCGCTTCACGTGTTGTTTTCGAGATAGAGCAATTATGAGCCATCGCATCACACAGTAACGTCTGGCCTATGACGGGGGTGAACTCCAAGGCTTGATTCACAGTAAACCACTCTGTCCACCGATTGGCCTCCATCACAAGTGCACCTATGCCGGACTATGGCATGGGCGAGTTCATATGGCATCCTCGAAGGCTTGAAATCAGTCAGTTGCTGAAATACGTCACCGTCATTCTTGCGGACATCGTCCAATTCTGGACGCAAGAGTTCCGGTCAACGTAATGTGACATTGACCTAGACTTGACGCTTTAAGTAATCCGGAGTCGGTCATAATTTCTTTTTTTTTTTTTACTACTAGAAGTTTTAAAAAAAACAACTTCTAGCAGTTTCATTTACACTATTCGCCTTTCAGTCATGTAGTCGATAAACCAGGTTATATCAAGCAAGTTTATTCCATGCTCAAGGTGGGACTCAAAGAGTGCGTATAGTTGATTTTTTGTGGGACTTTAGGCTTGGGAGTGACTTTTATCTTTTTTTTTTTTCGTTTTTTTTTTCCTTGGCATGACTTTTATTTCTCTGAAAGAATTGTTTCGGGGGTTTTTATTTTCAACACTTCTTTCCCCCCCCCCCCCCCCCCCTTGTAATTATATTTCCCTTTCAAGCTTGGAATATGTTATATGTGCCTTGTTCAGTGTGTTATTTCAAGACATTGTATTTCTCCTGCATCCACAAACGTATTTATTGTGTCTAGTGTACGTTATTGTATGGTTTTCTTCTTGGTGGGTTTTTTTTTTTTTTTCCTGTTAGGGATGTTTGACGAATCACCCATCGCTTTGTTTTTTTGTTTTATTTTAATCTGTAGTCAAACTTGAACCTTAACTCACTCTACGGTTAACTTGGATGTAGTTAAAAACTCACGGGTGCAGGCGTACTTCCACATGACCCTCGTCAACCGCTCGTAGTCATTGGGTGATCTCCTGTCGGTGAGTTCCTTGAATCTGTCTGTTTCAAATCCCATGTCAGTCACCAGACTGGCGAACAGTCTGGATTGTGAAAGATGTTAAGGCATCATGTATTTAGTATTTGCATGTAAGCTATTTTAACCATGTGTTTAGATCACTTGTCGTTAAAACAACTTAGTCGCACGTATTACGACTGACCGCAGAGATAGACTGACCACAAGGGTAGACTGACCACAAGGATAGACTAACCACCAGGATAGATTTACCACCAGGATAGACTGACCACCAGGATAGACTAATCACAAGGATGGACTGACCACCAGGATAGACTGGTCACAGGGATACGACTGACCACAGGGATAGACTGGCCGCAAGGATAGACTGGCCACAAAGATAGACTAGCCACAAGAATACACTGACCACAAGGATAGACTGACCCTCAACACACCCAGATACTTACTCCAAGAGGTCAGCATCTGACTTATTGTGAAAGTTAACGTCTCTGAGCGCGTCCAGCTGCTGTGACAGGATCCTCTCAATCCAGTCGAACGTCTTGGTGCCATTGGATAACTTGTGGATCACGTAAGCTGCCTGGAGATAAGACATGTTCAAGTAGTTTGAGGAATAGGGCACAAACTCAGAAGGATATATTAAGTTTAAGGATATATTATTTTAATGCAGTTGCTACTCATTGCTAGCAATTGACAACAATTCGAAGCCATCATTTTAAGCCACACCTTTTTGAGAATGAAACCTTTTTAATGTACACATGATGAGAAACATTTTAACAAAACTCGCTACTTAGATTAAACGAGTAGAGTGAGTTGCAGAGCCGGAAACTAGGCTTTTCGGCGCCCTAGGCGACATCTTAATTATGTCGCCCCATGATAGAACGGGGGCATAAAGAATTTCGTTAAAAATGCGTCCCATTTTTTTATTTTATTTAAAAAATTTTTTTTTTTTTTGCATTCACCAATTGTTTCTACTCTGTTGCATTGTTTCCAGGCGTACGTAAATATGTACATTTTAGAGGTTTGGTGCACATTTAACAAAATGTTCAGAAATCACTCAAATTAAAATCGAGGGAAAAAAAAATGTACTGGATCATATAATTTACAATTTAAAAACCTTTATGTAGAGCAGATATGTTCTATCTTTCTTTCTTTCAGCTTTTTTAAATTTTTTTTTTATACCCGTTATTTAAAAATTCAATCAATTATAAACGGAGGATTTGAAACATTCCATGAGAGGCAACCAAAATTTGAATCCTATTCGCGTGAACACCGAACCGAGCACAGCAGTAAGTTTAAACTTTAAGATGAACATTTACATAAATGAACGCCCTCAAAAATTATCGGTTACACACAAGAAGCGCTTTTGTTTTCAAATCATTAATTAAAAAAAAAAAAAATTAACTTCACCCCCTACACAAGAACCGAGATTTAAACTTCAACATCCTGGTACGTCTAGAGTGATACCACGAGTTACCTACCCGAGACGCGTAGAAGGCGTTCTGGTGGTAAGGAAGTGGGAACAAGAGCACCGTCAGTCTCAGCTGATCCGGTCCGTAGTGGAGTGCGGCCGCCTTGACCCCTGGCCAGGCGTCTCGGCTGTCTGGACACACCAGGTCGATGTAGATGTCGACGTGAACTTTGGCCGTGGACTTCCCGCCGTTGTAGACAAACCCTATCGGCCTCGGGGGCGTGGCCACTTGGGCAGATATGATGGGAAACAGAAGAAGAAGTCCCAAGGCGTACATATTGAATGGGTTGTTTCTTTGTCTAGATCTGTAAGGTATATAAAATAAAAAAAATATCAATATTATTTCAACTTTTATAAGCAGCCTACAGTTTCCTAATTTCAACTTTTATAAGCAGCCTACAGTTTCCTAATTTCAACTTTTATAAGTAGCCTAGTGTTTCCTAATTTCAACTTTTATAAGTAGCCCAGTGTTTCCTAATTTCAACTTTTATAAGTAGCCTACAGTTTCCTAATTTCAACTTTTATAAGAGCCTACAGTTTCCTAATTTCAACTTGTATAAGTAGCCTAAAGTTTCCTAATTTCAACTTTTATAAGTAGCCTACAGTTTCCTAATTTCAACTTTTATAAATAGCCTACAGTTTCCTAATTTCAACTTTTATAAGTAGCCTACAGTTTCCTAATTTCAACTTTTATAAGTAGCCTACAGTTTCCTAATTTCAACTTTTATAAGTAGCCTACAGTTTCCTAATTTCAACTTTTATAAGTAGCCTACATTTTCCTAATAGACGTAGACTCTAGATCCTTCAAAAAATCATTTTAAAAAACTTTTGACAAAAATAACTATTAAAATGTTGTATATTATTAATTCAACATTTTCTCTCGACGCAGAAACTTAAGAAATACAAAAAACATACATCAATCCTTTACACTTTTACCAACAAATATTTTTTTCTGGTAATTAAATAAAAATCAAACTCGTAATCCTTCGAGCCGAATCACGGAAACAGTCTCGTCATGGAACCACGTGACGATGCAGTATTTCGGAAACCCCTTGAAATCTCAATTTTAACAATAAACTTATCAAAACTTTCTGATTTGGCCAGAGATGATATAAGATCTTTTATGAAACGTCCAAAACAAAAGTCGACAGTTTCCCCAGCAGTGACCATGAGAGTTGGTGCAGGATGAACAAGAGAGAGAAAAACAACCAAGAAACATACACCATTTCAACAGTTCGTGACGTGGCATTCGTTCTGGTTATTATAAACAACGTAGAGAGGAGCGTACTCGGACATTTTGGAATGTCTTTTTGATGATCATTAGTTGTACGTTTTCTGAAAAGGTTGCGTAAGGGCGCCGGAAATATTAAATAAAACAGGGTTTCTCCCAAACTGGGGTGCCCGTATTTCAGGGGGCGTGAAGAAAAGATTATACGAACGGACGAGCCATTGGCTTTTAAAGTTTCATAAATACGTATTTAAATATTTGTCGTACACAATTCTTCATCAATATGTTAATTTATGTAATATTTAACATGTTTATTTTGTAAGTTCTATAATTCTGTTCGTAACTGAGTTGTTTTCTTTTAATATCAGAAGTCTATTTTAATTAAATAAGGGGTGCTGCAAGACTTTATCCAAAAATACGTAGATATTGCAAAGCATAAAAACGGTTTAAAGACAATGATATCGTGAATTTTAATGAAACATTAAATTTGATCGATATTGTATCATCAAATCAATAATCAACATCGTATCTTCCAATCAATGGTCACTGGCATATCTTCCAATCAATTTACCGACATCTACATTCTTCTAATCTCCGAATCCATTGGCCTTATTCTAATCTCTCGATACACAAAGAGCAGGTAAAAAAAAAAATCAATTAGATTTTTCACGGTGTAAAACATGGGAATAAATTAAAAAACTTTTACTCTAACGCCATCTTTAAATAATGAAATTAAACGTTGATGACACTCGAAGAAAATCGTTTGTCTACAGCACTTGGAGGTGACGTCATTTAATTGAGTCATCCAATGGTCTTGATCATGGCATTGCTGATCTAACGTCTAAGGGTTCTATTTTATTTCTTCTGTTGGTTATCACTCCGCTTAAAACGTCCATGAAATAGCTCAAGCTCGCACATGCCAAGGCAGACTGTAGAGACTAGAAACTGGAACTAGGTACGCCAGCAACGAGGTATCTCACGAGAGCAGGCAGAAGTGGGATGAGAGCACAGAGCAATGGGGTAAAAACACACAATAATGGGATGAGAGCACGCAGCAATGGGATGAGAGCACAGAGCAATGGGATGAGAACACGCAATAATGGAATGAGAATACACAATAATGGGATGAGAGCACAGAGCAATGGGATGAGAACACCCAATAATGGGATGCGAATACACAATAATGGGATGAGAGCACAGAGCAATGGGATGAGAATACACAATAATGGGACGAGAACACTCAGAAATGGGATGCCACATCCGTGTTTTTGTAACGCCTATACTTCTGCCTATAATTCTACGTGAACTGTTTCTCTGTACTCTACATTATAGATATCGTTGAAATTTGATCGACAGAATTGTAGCTCAACTTTTCCGTAACATTTTTATTGTTCCTAAGTTTGGTTATGGATGGAATATATAACTACGTAGCGTATCTTTAACAAACATCCATAACTATTTTATTGTGGATCCATTCATCTATAACAAATGAGAGTTAGAGATTATAATAACCCGGTAACTTTAAATACCAGAGCAGCAAGTCCCGTCAGGGTATTCCATCAAGACTGCTCCACCCACCAACAAACCGACAACGCGGCTGCAGCGCCTACCAACAAACGCAATTCACGGCTGCAACGCCTACCAACAAACCTAAATCACGGCTGCAACGCCTACAAAAAAAAAAAAAAAAAAAAAAAAAAAAAAAAAAAAAAAAAAAAAAACCTACATCATGGTTGTACCGCCTACTAAAAAACCTACGTTTGCCGTGTGGATCAGTTCAAAAAGTAATCAGTGTGAATAAACCCGGGCATAACGGTTTGAGATATGAACAAAAAATTTAATGCATCTTGTTAATTGTTTCGTGGAATAAGAGATCAAATATTTTGTATGCGCTAGTCTGTCTTTGTATGTAAAATAAAATTGAAGGATGTTACTTACTTTTATCTGTATGTCGTCAGTGATGAACTCCGTTTACGTGTGTCCTGAGCTGATAACGCTACCTGTCTGTTCACATCATGGCGAAGACTTTCAGATGTGGGACTGGGGCCCTGGCGCCGTTTATGGCCGACCCACTCTGTCAGCAGCAGTCTGACCCTCTCTGTCAGCAGGGGTGAAGTAGCACTTTCCTTAAATTTATCCCAAGTGTAAAATCATCTCCACCTGTAATAAGACCTGTCAACGGACTAGGGCTCAGAGTGGTTTGGAAGCGGTAAATTTTAGTCATACAAATGTTTGATCTCTGCGACATAGTTTAGGCTCTCTGTGTGTATGTGTGTGTGTGTGTGGCGTGTTGGGGGATTAGAATCAAAGGCGGCATTGTTCAGTTCACATTCAAATTACTTTATCTAATGTCAGCCAGTCAGTTTAACTTATTTTTTTAAGAGCCAGTACCATGGGGCCCTTGCTACTACCCCAAAGAACCCCCCCCCCCTCCCTCCACACGAGTTAAATATTATTTCTGTTCTTATCAGTGATAAGATGTGATGCTCTCTAAAACAATGGCAGATTTAATGCAACACAATCTAAGCAACGAAACCAAAAAAAAAAAAAGGGGGGCTTTTGTTGTAAATAACATTCTTGAAAAGTCATTGTATCTCCAGGCATTGATTTAGAGCCAGTTATATATATATTATGTCTACGGTGCTGTGTATATTACCAGGGCCATAGGCCAGGTGACGGGAACCATGGGCTCTTTGAGCTTTCTCGTCTGGCCTTTTAAACTTTATCATGTGGCTCTTGGATGCTTAAATATTGTGCCGAAATTATTTTATTTAAATGTTAAAATTAAATTTAACCTAAGTTAGACATTACGACCACTTATGTGGTGTCATGGTCTACTAAAATTAATATAAAAAATTCGAATCAGAAGTTTTACAGTTTTTAAAGTGGGATAACTCTAACAAATTAAATTATTTTTTCATGTGTCTCTTCAATCTTTTTTAACTACACCAAAATTGTAACATTTGGCTCTTTGCCATAAAAAGGTTCCCGACCTCTGCCCAAGGCTAGTCTAATTTTCAGCCATTTCCCTCCTTTCTGTAATACAAAAAGACAATTAATATATATATATATATATATATATATATATATATAGAGAGAGAGAGAGAGAGAGAGAGAGAGAAAGTATTTTGCACTCGTTAGCAATCTGTTTCAATATATATTTTAATAAAATAAAATTGTAACATTTGGCTCTTTGCCATAAAAATGTTCCCGACCTCTGCACAAGGATAGTCTAATTTTCAGACATTTCCCTCCTTTCTGTAATAAAAAAAGACAATAAATATATATATATATATATATATATATATATATAGAGAGAGAGAGAGAGAGAGAGAGAGAAAGTATTTTGCACTCGTTAGCAATCTGTTTCAAAATATATTTTAATAAAAAAATGAAAACTAATCACAAAGCACTGCGGAACCCCTTTTGTAAAGCACCTCGCTTTAACGCATCTTGCTATAACACACCCCGCTATAACGCACTCCACTAAAACGCGAATTCTGCGGCAAATGTGAAATGTTTGTACATTGAGCACATTAAATTTTTCAAAGTGCCTAAGAAAAAGTAGAAAATATTGAAGTTCATTTTGGGCGGTGAGATCACGTACGATTTTGAATATAATACCACGTGACCTTACTCCGAAGCATTGGATCTATGGGTCTGTGGGTCTAGGGGTTATGTGGGTCTGCGGGTGTATGGGTATGTGGGTACGGGAGGTCTGTGAATCTAGGGGGTATGTGGGTTGGGAGGTCTGTGGGTTTGGGAGGTCTGTGGGTCTATGGGTTTTTCTGGGTCTATGGGTTTGTAAGTTACAGTGTCAACGTTCCCGCTTGGCAATGATTGTTTTAGTTTTGTTACTACAGTCATCAAACGAACTGTGCAAAGCAGCTCAGGATCTTAAGAATAGTTCACATTTTTTGTGACTAGTATTGTGACCATTGGAACAGGACGACACTCGCGGGACCAAATGATTAGCATTAAAACAAACTCAAAAGTTTCTGACTCTGCAAATGATTCTTAGCTTAAAGTCTGGAACTTAGCGTCAGTGGGGAAGAGGGGGGAGGGGGGCCCGTACCGGATGACACCCTCACATGGTGTGTCAACCAGGGTTGCCAACTCATTAAATAATATTTAAGGAGAAGAAATATTTGAAATCTCAAAAGTTTCACTGACAAGAAAACCATTTTGTTTTTTTTAAGAACACAATTTTTTAAAGTTATGTTGTTGAAACTATGACGCTATTAAAATCAAATATCCCTACAACTATTCCCCCCCCCCACCCCCAAGCCCCCACCAGAAAAAAACAAACTATGGAGTGGGGCGAGAATGCCGCCTTCCAATATTTAGGAACTAAGAGCCCCGCCACTTTTCCTGCACCAACGACTGCACGTGCTGTACATGGCTGTGATGTGTACCGTGTATTTTATTTGGTTTTCGTGAGTGAGGGTAGGCCAGATCGAGGACTGCACCGGGCGTCTTAAACTCCAGCCACGCCACGATACCCAATCCCGTGGCCATGCGATACCCAATTCGTTGGCCATGCGATACCCAATCCCGTGGCTATACGATACCCAATCCCGTGGCGATGCGATACCCAATCCCGTGGCTATACCATACCCAATCTCGTGGCTATACGATACCCAATCCCGTGGCTATACGATACCTAATCCAGTGGCTATGCGATACCCAATCCAGTGGTTATACGATACCCTATCCCATTGCTATACGATACCCAATCCCGTGGCTATACGATACCCAATCCCGTGGCTATACGATACCCAATCCCGTGGCTATACAATACCCAATCCCTCGGCAATACGATACCCAATCCCGTGGCAATACGATACCCAATCCCATGGCTATACGATACCCAATCCCATGGCTATACGATACCCATTCTGTAAAATACAAAAACCTCAGATGTGAACAAACGGT